TTGAGAATGATGTACAAATGCGCTTTACACAATTGATGTGTGTATGGATTGCGATAACAGTTGTATGAGCCCCTAATAAAATGTTAAAAATTAAAAAAAAGAACTAAAAAAAACCAAAAACAAATGGAGGCAATCTTGGAAGTGTTGACTTGTCTATGCCAAGAGATTTGGAAGACCGCCACCCGGCCAACTGACTGGAAGATACTTGTGTTTGTGCCCATTACAAATAAAGGTGATCCAAAGAATGAGCAAATTGTTGAACACTATCATCAATACCAAATGCTTGAAGTTTTGCTGAAGATAATTTAAAAATGGTTATTGGAGCAGCAGGTCGACAGGAAACCGCCTGGGATTCTAGCTGTATTCAGAAAAGAGCTTGGAGCCTCACTGCTAATGTCCGATGGGTCGTGGCTGAAAGCAGAGAATTCCAGAAAGAGGTTTACTTGTCTTCATTGGCTGGTGTTGGACTCTGGGTCGTAAGGAATGATGGATGGCATTGTAAAGAGTGGGGTTGTCGGAACACTATCTTGTGCATGGACCAGAAGGCCTAGTTTGAGTCGAACAAGGGTGTATCCGTAGTTTAAATCATCAAGGATAAGTGTCAGGGTTGTATCCTTTCTCCATACATTTATTCAGTCTGTGCGCTGAGCAAGTGCTCAGAGAAGCGGGACTGTATGAAGACTAACGCGGCGTCAGACTCGGAAGAAGGCTCGTTAACGATCTTCGCAATGCAGGTGACACAACCTCGCTTGCTGAAAGCAAAGGGACTTGAAGCACTTATGATGCAAACAGTGACTGTGTACAGCCTACGTATGGATCTACGCCTTCATATCAGAGCGGGGGTGGGAGTAGGCAGGGATCCTCGCAACTGGAAAAATAAGAAACATCCTCATAACCGGAGGAAACGCTGAAATTTTCAAGGATTTCATTTTTCTTGAATCCACAATCAACACCCTGGAAGCCGTAGTCAAAAAAAGAAATCAAATGACACACGGCATCGGGCGTATCTGCTGCAAAAGACCTCTTCTAGGGGACTGAGAAGCCAAGGTGGCACCCGGAGGACTGAGGTGTGCCTGATCCAAGCCACAGCACTGTGAGTCGCCTCGCATGCCTGCGAAAGCCGCACAATGAGTAAGGAAGCCCAGAGGAGAAATGATGCCTTTAAATGATGATGGTGGTGAAGAATTTTGAATTATCCACGGACTGCCAGAAGAGGAAACGGATCTGTCTTGACAAAGGGTAGCCAGAATGCTCCTTAGAAGTGAGGGTGGCTTGGCGGTCTCGTGTATTTTAGACATGGGATGGCAGTCCCTACAGAAGGGCATC